GACTTGGTGGTATACGACAATGCGTTTTGGGTGCCGGAGCTGGCCAGGAAGCTCGGGATCAAAACGGTGTGCTTCAACGTCGTTTGCGCTGCAAGCTTGGCTATAGGTCTCGTTCCTGCAAGGAAGGTTCCAAAGGATAGGGCTTTAACTCTGGAGGATATCAGCCAGCCACCACCAGGTTAATCATATGTCATATTCTATTAAGAAAATTATTAATTCTTTAAATTCACTGAGATTTGGAATATATTTGTTTAATCCTGGGATGCTCTCCATGCAATCAAAAGTTGTAAATTGCTTTTGGAGGATCTTATTATGAGAGGTTGAAGGATTTGTGTTGATCTACTCTGAAAAAGTGAAAATGGAAACCATAGGGCGGGGATGAATCTAGAAACAAATCCTTGAAGGGCAAAATTAAAAATTACTTAAAATATGTGGAATTAATACTAATTTTATATTTTTTATTAGTACAATAAAAAGGAATGAGTTGATTAAGCTTTATATTTTTGATCAGGTGATTAAGACTTATATTTAAGATCGGGAGAAGTACTCGTATTAGTTAAAGTTGTTATAAAATTAATTAGCTTTCTATAATATTCTTATTAATCACCAAGCTCTACCATCATATTATTTCTGCTCCCTTTCATTCATTCCAGAAGTTCAACTGTCGTTGTACATACAACACTCAGCCACCCAATACACAACACACAATCAAAACACACCCATCTTGACATAATCTCCACTCATTTTTAGGCCTATCTATGGGGGCGATAGAACCCATGATATCTTGCATCAAAGTAGAAGGTTCGTGCCATTGAATTAAATGGTTCTTGGCAACAATTATCCAACCTTTAATGCAGGGCATATGTAAATAATAATAATAATATTTTAAATAAATTTTGTGAGATCACTGATAAAAAGGATTAAAAAAAATTAGAAGGTACCTCATGTATATATAAAACTAGCATAGTTTATGCTCTCTCCTGATCTTAAATAAGATATTTTTGTAGGTAATTCAGTGCTCCAATATATAAGGCATTTTAAAAGCTTTTATTAATGGTAATTATTTCAATATTATCTCTCATTATTTTACTTTTTAAATCAATTTTCTTCCCTCTCTTTTATTAATGGAGGTTTTTTTTGGGAGCTTTTATAAGAAAAATAAATTATAAAACGTATTTAATGAATTTCTTTTACTTGTGTAGTTTTATCATAAAAAGATCTTATAAATTGAGACCGCCGGAGAGAGTATTTTAAAACTAATATTAAATATAAATATTTACTTGATCGTTATAATTTGATTACAATAGATAAATGATCATGTCCACTTTTTTTCTTGTTTGCCCTCAAATGTTCAACACTCTTTCATATTACTTCATGGTTGCCGACAAACAAGTAATTGACAATTTGAAAAATGGCAGGTTACCCTTCAACAAAAGTAATACTTCGCGGAGACGAAGCTCGATCGTTACTCTTCCTCTCCCTCCCGTTCGGCGACAACATAACCTTCTACGACCGCATCACCAATGCCTTACGAGAATGCGATGCCATAGCCATCCGAACCTGCAGAGAGATCGAACGAAGCTTCTGCGACTACATGTCCCACCAATACCACAAGCCCGTCTTCCTCACCGGCCCCGTCTTACCCCACCAATCCAAACACCACGACCTCGACCCCTCCATCGCCACTTGGCTCGCCGGCTTCGAACCCCGGTCCGTCGTCTTCTGCGCCTTCGGGTCACAGCTCAACCTTGAGAAACCTCAGTTCCAAGAGATCCTCCTAGGGTTGGAGCTCACGGGCTTACCTTTCCTGGTTTCCTTGAAACCTCCGATGGGGTGCGACATGGTAGACGAGGCCTTACCGGAAGGGTTCGAAGAGAGAGTTGGAGGGAGAGGGATGGTGTGCAGAGGTTGGGTTCAGCAACCGCAGATTCTGGATCATCCGACGGTGGGGTGTTTCGTGAACCATTGCGGTTTCGGGTCGATGTGGGAATCGCTAATGAGTGAGAAGCAGATAGTATTGTGTCCTCATTTGGGTGATCAGATTCTGAACACGAGGATTCTGGTGGAGGAGCTGGCGGTGGCGGTGGAGGTGGAGAAGGCGGAGAAGGGGTGGATTTCGAAGGAGAAGCTGTGTGAGGCGGTGAAGAAGGTGATGGATGAAGGGAGTGACGTGGCGAGGAGGGTGAGGGAGAATCACGAGGAATGGAGGTTGGTGTTGGGGACAGCTGGGTTCACGGATGCTTATATTGATGGGTTTGTTCATAATTTGAGAGAGCTTCTCAGGGGTGAGAAATGATTAATCTTTGATGGGCTTGGTCGGAGAATATATTAGACTCGATCGGATTGAGGAGGGGACTTTCAGACCAATCCTCTAAAAGAAATTCTTGCTTTTAATTTTCTGATTTGTTTTTGGGTTATACATACTTGTCATTTGTCAAAGTATGAATGCTAAACGTTTGGATCCCTAAGGCTCCCTAGAGTCAAAATATATAGAACCAGAATGTGTAATGTGTTTTTCTTATGCTACTGCTAATGCAAATTATCCAATGGTTATGAAATATATTTCATGGATAAGGTGATTTTTTTTTTATATGACTATTTCACCAAATCAATTTTGAACATTATCAGGTCCACTTGTGATAGCTTTTCTTAATATGTTTTCTGCATTTATAAAAGCTTAAAAATAAAATCTCTACTTAAGTAGTCATCACTCCTCCTACGTAATATAATCAAACACGTGTTGGTGGATGAAGATCATATAATACTATTTTTTTTTTTGCTACATACAAATATTGTTCTATTAGAAACAATCGAGTTTGAGGCCCACTTACACAACCTAGGTGTTTTAAGTATTAACTTACAAACTGTCAAAGTGAGCTGGGCTGGATCTAGAGAGTAACTTTTGGTTAGATTGGGTCAGACTTGAAAACTTGCCAAAGTGATTCGAAAAAGAAAACTACCAAATCAGACCTGGCTCCTATATTTAGATATAGGATAGAGCAAGATTTACTTACTTAACATTATATATTTAATATAATTTTATCCAATTAATTTAACATAAGCAAATTTTAATATATCAATAATATTAATAAAAATAATTTATTATAGAATAAATAGTCTTTAAATAATAATACACATGTTTTGATTTAATTAAAAGCAAACACCTTAAATATATAAAATTAGGCATATAAGTTTTCCCTTGCCGAAAATTGTTTTATTGCTACAAAAGGTTGGCCCAGCTTGGATTTTTTTGCAAGAAATTAATTTTATTAAGATTAAAATTTTAATTATTAGCAATTTTCATTTTAATATTTCAAATTATGCATTTATTATTTTTAATAGTAAAACAAAATCTAAATAAAAATTAAATTCAATAATAATTTTATAACTAAAAAGATTATAAATGAATTTTTTTCTCTAATTTTTTGCCAGATCAATCTCTGCTTGATACTAGCCCAATCTAAGTGGACATCAATTATTAAAAGAATGTTAAATTGTCTGGGCCAGGAATGGACAAAATTAATGCCCAATTCAACTATGGCCACGAACACTAAACACGTAGGAGAGAAGTATCCAAATTTAAAATATCAAAATATCTACTACCAAAAAAATATTAAATATCATATTCGTTAAAAAGATAAACATGAAGAAATATCTGAAGTTAAATTAAGACTCTAAATATCTCAGGAACCAGACTTAGATTTGCATCCATGATGAATCAAATTCGTCATGTGACAAAAAGCCGACCAACGTGCTTCGTTATCTTTTAGCATCAAAGTGGGGAAAAAATCTTTAGGAGAATTACAATAAAATTTTAAATAAAAAATTTAATTATTACAAGATTCAATAATAATTAAATTAAGGAGATTTTAATTAATTTTTTATGTGAAACTTAAATATTATTTTCTTAGAATCTCTTCGTATCTTTCGTTTTGCAGTCTGCAAATAACGCCTACGCTACCAAGGAAAATAAATAAATAAATAAATCAGATCGGCATCGGGCCAACGTGTTTGCGGATAGCTTTCGTTTATTTGTAAGTTTGAATGATTTCGCATCTTCTTCACATGCTAATTGCAAATCATAAATTTTATTCTCAAACTCATTAAGTATGAGGTATTTCAATCTCAAACTAATTAGGTAAGAAATAATTAATGCTGTGTATTCCCAAATTCACAAAGAATTGAAGCTTACTTTAGGAGATGATCATTGGCCAATACCCAATCAAAAGAAGAAATTTCATATGCTCCCTCCGTCTAATTTATAAAATAGTTTGATCAAATTACTCAGTGAAAAAAATCTTTACATAACTCACACAGTTTTAAAAAATTAAATATGATAATTATATTTACAATTAAAAATTTGACTAAATTACCCTATAATTAATAAGTTAAATTTATTTAGTAAAAATAAACTTTATTTTATAAGGAATAAGTTAGAAAAAATATAATAAACACTTCCTAGAAAATTAGATAAAGTGGCTTACTGATTAAAAAAAATTGTATAAAAAATATAAATTAAATTTTTAAAAATTTAAAAGTGTGATCATGTAGACGGATTTATAATTGATATATATAAAAAAGTTATCATTAAACATTTAAACAATTATAAAAAATATTATTAATATATAATTATATATTATTAACATATATAATAAACAGACTATATTATAAAATATAATATATATTAAATTATTTGTTGATATGGACTATATTTACAAAAAATCCTTATTAAAATTTGTATCTTTTCTTATAAATAAAACACGATAATTCTCTTCTAATTGAAAAGAGCAAAAGTAGAAACGAAATTCATTAAATATAATTTAAAATCTTGAATTTTTCATTAACTTTCAAAAACATCAATTATGAGCAGGATAGAATTATAATTTTAATCATTTTTTTTTTCAAAACTTCTTATATTATAAAGACAAATCACCTTCAAAAGGTGTTAATAAGTAATTGTCCTGTGCGGAATAGAAGAATAGTCAGGATTGGAGAGATGCTTGAAGAAGGCACGAATTTCATAATTGAATTAATTTAATTGTATCGTATAACATCGAAAATCAAGCATGAATTCAAATTCAATAAGGTACAATTGACTCGAAGCAGTGAACACCATCTAACTCCGGCGCAAACCTCGGCGAGAATCGCCGCCTTTGTTTCTTGTCTCCGCCGGGTTGCGTCGGTGGCGCGGCCTTGGATGAATCTGGAGCCGTCCGTTTCTTCTCAGAAGAATCAACGGAGGAAGAAGGCTTCTGCTCCAGCTTGGGCTTGAGATTTCCGCCGTCAACAGATAAGCGTAACCTCTGACCGTAGGAAAACTCGGCGCAGAGAGCATCGAAGGAACTAAAAATGGACATCAACATCTTGAATCGCGGAGATCACGGAGAGGGAGATGCAATCAAAGAGTAGGAAGTATCGGAGAATTGGGAGATTGAAGCGAATATGTTGAAGAGAGTTGCTTGGGATGGAGGGAAAGTTCTGGAAGCAGGAGAAGCTTGGAAAGGAGGGAATCGAAATGGACTGAGTTGGCGTGGAGGGAGAGAAGGAAAAGAAGGTATATAAAGGAGGAGGAAGGAAGCGTGGGAGAAGGATGAGGAAATTTCGGGAAAGGGAGGTAGTGACGTGGAGGAAATAACAATGCAGGCACCAGGAAGGCTTGTGTTGCGTGTGGACATTTTCCGTCCAAGGCAAATGGATGACCAGCTGAAATGACATTTTAGCCCTGCACTAAATATTACAAATAAAAAATTATTTTGAAATTACTACTTTTATATAAGGCATAACAAAACTTTTACTTGCTCAAACTTATCTTAATCATTAATTTAATTATTTTTCATTAGTTCGTTGAATTTGTTTTAATTATTAGTTTTTATTATTTTAAATCCGCCGTTATGTAAATTAATTGAGACAAATATAATTATTTAGATAAAAAAATAGAGTAAAAAAATTTAAAAAAATCAAAATATTGACAAAAATTAGATTGATTTGAAAACAAATTCATTATTATTCAAGTATTTACACGCACCACGGCCTCAACATAATTGACATGTCTTAGAATTGATTAGGCCAAGACAAAAATGAAAAGAAAAGGAAAGAAAAGAAATAACTTGGGGAGCAAGAGAGTTAGCGGTGATGAAAAGTAGAACTATGGAAAAGGGGGTTGTATTTGTATAACAGAGGAAGGAGAAGGGTGCAAGTGGAAGGAAAAGCCGACCATGATGGTGGGCGGCTAAACGATAGGAATGGATCAGTCAAATTGAGTGGGGAGTTGAATGGACATGTTTTGGAAGAATGAAGAACGCTTGGGGAAGAAGCTTCCAGACCAAGTCCACGTTGATTCCATTCCAGTCCCAAACGCGTCCTAGTCCAATTCAAACACGCAACCTTCTAACGTGCATGATTAACGTTGCAATTTTGTGTTTTTTCTTAACTCGACAGTTGACACAGTCTCGTTCATTTTAGCTTTGACCTTGCTTTTGTGGGATTTTGAGTCTTTGTTATTACTTTTCATACTTTTTTTTTTTAAACATTCTGCCATAAGTAATATTTTGAAAAATTATAAAAATTCCTCAATTTTAGCGACGTTCATGAGAGGATGTAGAGACTAGAGAGCTAATATGAAATGTGACGGAAGATAATCAAAATTCATCCTTAGCTTATAAGGCTTTCGTCCTATTTTTTTAATCCTATAAATAAATTATTTCTAACAACTCTCGTAAAAACCAATGAGAGGTATAAAAATTATTGATATTATTTAAAAAAATCTCAATTTACCTATATTAAATATATCACCTCTAAAACAAGCTCTCTATCATTTGCAAACTCTTGTATAAAATTACAAAAAAAAAAAGTAAAATTAAAAAAATAATTAATTATCTTTTTTTTTATGTAAATGACTTATAAAAAGAATGATAAGTTCTAATTAATATAGGAATGAAAAAAGTACTTGTGTAAGCCATTGCACTCTTTTAATACAAACGAAAGAAAAAGAAAGTAATCAAGATTAGAGCAGTTAACAATTTCATCAGTTCTTATCAATTAACAGTTTCATTGTATCGCTCATAAATTTATTGATGTAATGGTTTGACTCAAAAAGTAATCAAGATTGGAGCAGTTAAGCAGGTCAAATTGGGACGGAAACTGGGCTGCCACTTCCTTGGTGATTAAACCAAAAAATGTTGAATGGTTGGACTTTTGAATTCTACTTACTGACCAGAGTGGCACTTCATTAATTATAAAGAATATTTAATATTCAATGAGGTCAAGTTAATTATGCACATATAGACTTTCATCTCAAAATGCAAATCTAGAGCAACTCTATATGAAATGAAACACATGTATTCACGTCATATATGTAGTTAGAAGTGCTCTGTAATAGACTAAAAAAAGTATTTTTTCTCACCAATTTTCAATTCAGGGTAAAATAAGAATTTATGATAAAAATTTGATAATGCAACTTATAAATGAGATTAAAAAAATTTTCTCTCATCACTTTATAAATAGGATAGAAATATTCTTTTTGTTCTTATTTATAAGATACTTTAAAAGTGCATTGGTATTTTAAAATGTAAAATACTTTAATAAAAATAAAATTTTATTAATTATACTTGTTCAATAATATCATTCTCTTCTTATAAACTATAGCATGTAATGGTTATAATAATACTAATTTAAAATTAGCTGCCCTATTTTTTCATATATAAAAAAACTGCATCTGGCCAATGCCTTTTGCCATTTCTGGTTAATTGTACGAGTAGTTGTCAAATTCACTCGTGTAACCCCTTCACAATGTTGTCCTCTTTGTAATTTAAAATAAGAAAAATATAATTATTGATTTCTATAGTTTATCTTTTGTTTTTAATATTTATAATTTTTTTATTATTTTCAATCTCTATAATTTTAAAAAGATTGGACATACGATCTTTATTTTTCATGTCTCTATAATTTCTATTTTTCACTATTTTTAATCCCTCTAACGATTGAAAATAATGGAAAAAAACTATAAAAATTAAAAAATTTTCAATAAAATTATAAAGATTAAATATTATATCTTTTCTTTAAAGTATTGACAGATTGTATTATATTTAATAAAGACTATATTATTAGAACTTTTGTTGAGTTGGCTCCAAATAGAAAAAGAACTTTTTGTTGACAACTAAAAGAATTTAGTTGAAAATTGAGATGATGTAAAATTGAAATGTAATTAGATATAAACTTATTGATTGTAGATTATTAAAAAGAAGCTGGGAGAAAATTAAAGTGAATGTACCAATTTAATTATAAGAGCTCTATCCTTTGACCTTGCGACTCTAAAAAAATTATATTATACAGTCAGCAAAATATGCTCCTTATAAGTTAAAAATTTGGGAGAATTATTTTAAGATCCAACACAACACATTAAATAATTTAAGATCTATTGAAAATTGAGCAAAACAAAAAAATGACAACTAAATATAATTGTTAATAAATTTCGTAATATTTAAATGTATTGTGTGAAATTTGTATGCAATTCTCTTTAAAAATTTTGAATTCATATCAAATTCTTGACATAGACACAAGTACTTGAAGTATGAGTTGAGACGGATTTGACATTGACGAAATCATTTCAAAATGATTTTACATGCCAATTAATTGAAAGTAGTAAACAGAGTATTGGGGTAACTACCTCCTCTCTTTCTATTTATAAAAAAAAATTATTCATACAGTTTAAAAAAATTAATTAATTATATTAATTATAGTAAAAAATAAAAGATTTGAACTAAAATACTTTTCATTAATTGTATCAATCAAGTCTTCATTAATTATTTATCATGACTGTGAATAATGAAATTATGAGGGATAATTTAAAAATTTTATGATAAATGCTTATTAGAAAATATGATTTTGTCTATATAAAAAATAAATTAAAAATAATAGTTTTTTTATAAATAAAAAGAGGGAAATATTTTCTTGCCTCTATTTGTTTAATGGGAATTTATTATTAGAATATTGGCTATTTTTTGGGCCGGCCAGCTTCAGATATTCCTAAAATTGATATTTGGACAAATCTCATATATTTATGAGAGTGAATACTAATGTCAGATGTCATTAAATAATTGCTGGCACTGTAATTTGCAATGAAAATTAATTATAATGAGAATGTGCATGCACTGACAATGACATATAAGGAAATTAATAGGCTAATATGAGTGGGTGGGTGCATGTTCCTAGTTTGAACACACAACCTCATATATTAATAGCGTTCTATATTAGAGTTCATATACTGAAAATAGTAATAAAAATTTCTAAAAAAAAAAATGGGTTCGTTGAATAAGTACTTGATCATTGTCATGAGGACTTTCTCACTCTCCATCTTATTGTTCTGAGCATCCATATATATCCTTCAACTTCATTCTGCTGGTGAGCCCTGCCAGTAAGTTGATCAACACTGTGGCAGAACAGATGAGACAGTGATCTACCAAGAATGCCTCCACACAGATCCCAGAGGCATTAAAGCTGACGGCCCAGGTTCTTCACGTAAGTTCTCTCTCTCTCTCTCTCTCTCTCTCTCTCTATATATATATATATATATATAATCACACACACACACGCTTTTTAATCTTAAACTTCTTAATCAAATCCTTGCTCTGTCCCCAATTCAGGGTAACATTGGACAGTGGGGAGATCCATTGGATTGGAATTCATCCTATGTGAAATTTTTCGTTCCAATCAAGTTTATTATTGTCTCAAGACATGTCCTTAATCTCTAATGAACTTGGGCTCTAATATCATTACCAGAACAGTAATAAATATTTACTATTGAGGTCATTCTCTATACTTTAAAGTAAGTGATAATTTTATACTCTTCATCTCAAATTATAAGACATTTTTAAAAAAATATTTAACGTTTTAAAATATAAGATATTTTAAAAATATAATTTTATTAATAATATTTTTTCAAAATTACCATTCCTATATATTTTCTCTCTTTAATATTCTTTTATCAATAGAGTATTAAATGAAGAGTATTTTTAAATTTATATTTTTATTTTGAAAATATAAGGTTATAAAATATATTTAATAAGCTTTATTAGTATGTAAAATTTTATCTAAAAATATCTTATAATTTAGGACAACGAGAGTATTGCGTTTCAATTTAAAATTTTGAAGCATTGGGATCTAGATTTAATCAATGTGGGACTTTTTTTTTAGAGTGATAGTTAGGTTCCAATAAAGTTTTTTACAAAATAAATTGTACATATCAATTTAAATAATTTTAAATTTAGGAATTTTAATTATAAATAAAATATTTAAATTCTAAACATAACTTTTAATTTGCCAGTGAGCTTCTTATTAATAATTATCTAAATCAATATTCGCAACTTATTTTTTTAAAAATATTGTTAGTTAGCTAATTGTCATTAAGTATTTACTTTAACATGTCATTCTCTCTCTTTTTAAAGAGGAGTTACCTCCAATTTTGAGTTCGATCAAACTTAAATTTGAATGTCCATAATATTAGAGGCCAATAGTTATTACCAACAAAAAGAATTTCAGGAAAG